TTAGATTAAATAAAATAAATAAAGTTATAGGTGCCACCAATATTTTTTTTTCAAACAGACGCAGTACAACTAAAACACGAAAAGACTAATGCAAATTACTTATATTCAAATAGGCAATAGCTATAACATAAGTCTTGTTATAGTAGTTTAGCTGCTAAAAGAAATGTAATATAGTATTAGCCATTAAGCAATAGATATAAGTAAGTTTTACTATGTACTAATTATTACATACTATTGATTACGTTATTAGATGGTTAAAACTTTTAATGTTATTAGATGTAAAATTTTTAGAAATTCCATCAAAATTAAATTTATATTCAATTTATTTGTCGTGCACAWGTAAACGAAAAATGAATGTTCTAATATAAAAAAATAGTGCTTGTCAGCGTTTAGGAATTCAATTAGTTTAGTCTCAAAAATGAATTATGTAACAATCACAAAAACATATTTAGTTGACATCAGCTGGCCTTTAAATTGTCATGTCAATTTATTGGTCAGGTGAAATTAAGAATAAACATGTGTACATTATGTATTATTTATAGTATAATTAAAATGGGCGGGAGAATTTCTATAACTGTATTGATTTTCCATGCCTGGGATTAATTTTTTCGAGAAATTAATTTCTAGAATTACGTCTTGAGTTGAATGAACCCATATTTAAATTGTAATAAAAAAAAAATAATAATATTTAAGGATACAACTGTGTTTTATCAATTGTTCGATACAATTCGGATTTATAAAAACAATTTTTGTATCGTAGGTTTGTTCTAAGTCTTTTGTTTTTGATTCAACAGCAAAACAATTTAATTAATGTTTAATAACGATTTGAACGTGCCAAAGCACATTACACATTAAATTTCCAGACTTGCATGTGCTAGCCGCTAGGTATATAACACGTAACGCAATGTATGTGTGAATTAATTTGTTAGATGTCACAATGTGCAGAAATGCGATTTAATATGCCCTACGAAACATTGTTTATTAACCATGACCCCGAGTTCGTGGAAACGAGATACAAGTAGGTAATAGGATAATGTACTCAGTCTCAAACTCTGATCTAGTGCTCATTAGATGTACTATTAGAAAATTGCTGTTATCTCTAAAGTCAAATCAGACTTTGCTGGAATTTAATATTAGTTTTATGAAATATATTATTCAACCATGAGATGCATTTTTATTGTTTTTGTTATCATATTATAATAATTTAATTGAATGAATTTTCTGAACGTTTAAACGTTTAAACTTTGGATTGTTTAGTTCTTTTCTTTATAAATAAAAAGGAGAGTTATATAACTGGTTGTTTAGGTACGTGGCACATTAACCATTTAACTCACGTATCACGTGAAATGTTTAGATTTTGTTTGATAGGAGAGGGGGCTATGAGTTCACAGTTTGAAATAAAAACTCATTAAATAGTTATAAATTATAATTAGGTAGAATTGTATAGCACTAAAATAATTGAAATATGCGCTATATAATATGAACTAAAAATCTTAAAATAAGAGCTTCAATATGTCTTAAGAGTTAAAACATGAAAAATATCAACAATGAATTTATCATGTTCACAACTAAAAAAAAAACATCAGATGTATGACAGAATATTTTATATTATATAATATAATATANAATAATTTAATTGAATGAATTTTCTGAACGTTTAAACGTTTAAACTTTGGATTGTTTAGTTCTTTTCTTTATAAATAAAAAGGAGAGTTATATAACTGGTTGTTTAGGTACGTGGCACATTAACCATTTAACTCACGTATCACGTGAAATGTTTAGATTTTGTTTGATAGGAGAGGGGGCTATGAGTTCACAGTTTGAAATAAAAACTCATTAAATAGTTATAAATTATAATTAGGTAGAATTGTATAGCACTAAAATAATTGAAATATGCGCTATATAATATGAACTAAAAATCTTAAAATAAGAGCTTCAATATGTCTTAAGAGTTAAAACATGAAAAATATCAACAATGAATTTATCATGTTCACAACTAAAAAAAAAACATCAGATGTATGACAGAATATTTTATATTATATAATATAATATAWAGAGTAATAATTGTTCATTATTCGATAGACCAATTCACTGAACTACWTTAWWATCGATTTTAATCAGGCTTTATTGTAAGGTGCAGTAGGACACTAATTGTGAATTAGGAAATAWACGATGTGCAGTTGGCTCAGCGAATATGTGCACTGGAGAAATGCAACAAAAATTACTTTGCCAAAATTATTTAAATAATGCATGTATTATTTAGTAGGTACGTGAATCAGTCACACCCGACATCGAATGACGATTGACGACTAGGCGCTCGCTATAGGCGTTGMACGTGTTAAAARTAGATTATTGACAGCAGGCGCGTCCAGTTTTAAATATTTTTGTTTACTATTTATATTATGATTTTATATTTATATAATATAATTATTAATTACCATTTACCATAATATCACATTATCGTCATTATCACCGAWCGTTGCCGATTATCTACGACTTTACATTTTATTTSTTGAAACTGTACGTGTGTATAYCATACATGCTTTTATTTTTTTGATTTACTTTGCATTATTCACGGGCTTGTCATCATCGGATCGTTATTAAGGTAAAATTATTAATTAATATTAATAAGTAGATACTTACTCTCATATCGATGGCTCAATGCAAACTTGTTATAAGTTAATTTTTTCCGAAAAACACTTTTTGATACTAATCGTTAGAAAATTGAATTTTCTTCGTTTTTTACAAGGAGTTTGTATTCTATAACCATTAATTAATTATTCATGTGATATTTACTATTTTCACTTATCATGAATGGCAGTTAGCTATATTTATTTTTGCTCTAATGTATTAAGTCTTCGACTCTCAATGATAAATCCTTAAATTTTGTACTTGTACTGCTATTTAAATGCACACTTGTTATATATCCGTACTTAACATAAATTTGATTTATATTATCCWATTTATTAACTGCTTACATGTTATAAGTCCGGACATATTATATGAGTGCAGTAAAAATATTTTAGTTGTAGGACTTATTTAATTTTTAAGGTTTTACGAAAAGAAAATATAATAATT